ATTCCCGGTTTTCCCGTTGCAGCCACGGCTCTGAAGATGAACGTGACGCTGCGGGAGCTGTACCTGGCCGATAACAAACTCAACGGGCTGCAGGACTCGGCCCAGCTCGGGAACCTGCTCAAGTTCAACGGCAACCTGCAGATCCTCGACCTGCGCAACAACCACATCCTCGACTCCGGTGCGGGAATGACGGGAATGACAGCGGGAATGACGGGAATGACAGCGGGAATGACGGGAATGACAGCGGGAATGATGGGAATGACAATGGGAATGACAGCGGGAACAATGGGGATAACATCGGGAATAATGACAGCAGGAACAATGGGAATGACAACGGGAAGAATGGGGATAACAACAATGGGAATGACGGGGGGATAACAATGGGAATGACGGGGGAATGACAGCGGGAATGATGGGGATAACAACGGGAATAATGACAGTGGGAATGACAGCTGGAACAACGGGAATGATAGCTGGGACAATGGGGATAACAACAATGGGAATGACAGCTGGGATAATGGGAATAACAATGGGAATAATGACAGCGGGAATGACAGGGATAACAATGGGAATGACAGCAGGAACAATGGGGATAACAACAACGGGAATGACAGCTGGGACAATGGGGACAATGGGAATGGCAGCTGGGACAATGGGAATGACAGCTGGGACAATGGGAATAACAATGGGAATAATGACAGCGGGAATGACAGGGATAACAATGGGAATGACAGCAGGAACAATGGGGATAACAACAACGGGAGTGACAGCTGGGACAATGGGAATGACAGCTGGGACAATGGGGATAACAACAATGGGAATGGCAGCTGGGACAATGGGAATCACAGGGATCACAGCAGGAATGACAACGGGGATAACAATGGGAATGATGGGAATTGTGGAGATGGGAATGGGGATGGGAATTGTGGGAACGGCGTTGGGATGGGTCTGGAATGGGGTTGGGAATTGTGGGAACAGGAATGGGAATTGTGGGAATGGGGTTGGGAATTGGGAATGGGAACAGGAATGGGATGGGAACGGGAATTGTGGGAACAGGATTGGGAACGGGAATTGTGGGAACAGGATTGGGAACGGGAATTGTGGGAACAGGATTGGGAATTGTAGGAACAGGATTGGGAACAGGAATGGGATTGGGGATTGTGGGAACAGGACTGGGAATGGGATGGGGCTGGGAATTGTTGGGATGGGTTTGGGAATCCCTGATTCCCACTTTTCCAGGCCTGGCCTAATCCCAGGATGTTCCAGGCCTGTCTGATCCCGTTTTTTCCCATTTTTTCCCAATTTTTTGTCCCCAGGCCTGGCCTACATCTGCGAGGGGCTGCGGGAGCAGCGCCGGGGGCTGGTGACGCTGGTGCTGTGGAACAACCAACTGAGCCACGCTGGCATGGCCTACCTGGGCATGACCCTGGTGAGAATTCCTGCTTTTCCCTGGAATTCCTGCAATTCCCAGAATTCCCGGCTGGAATCCGGGGCCGTCGGAGCCCGAGTCCGGGGAAAAAAACCGAATTTTTTTGGTGTTAATTCCTGAATTTCTGGGGTTTTCTGTGGAGGTTTCTGTGAAAATCCGTGGATTTTCTTTGGTTTCCCATTGGAGTTTTCCATGGATTTTCGTTGAATTTCTGTAATTTGCTTGGATTTCCATTGATTTTCTATTTCTTTTCCGTGGTTTTCCATTTGTTTTCTGTGGGTTTTCCATAGATTTCCGTGGATTTTCTTGGTTTTTCCATAGGATTTTTCCATGGGTTTTCGTTGATTTTCCATAGATTTCTGTTGATTTTGCATGGATTTCCCTGTTTTTCCCCGGGATAATTTCCCCGTTT